GATATAGTAGTGCGATATTGATAAGTATGGCTGATAATGATATGATATGGATTGGTCAAGATATCTAAATTAAAAACATAAGATTATTACTATACAAAACTTACATTTCGAACGATGCCTGCAACAGGAAGACGGACCTATACAAAAGTTTCAAGGGAATAGCTTTAAGACGGATAGACTAGTTTGCATGAAAACAGGCAGATGGACAAAAGCACATGGCTTTATTTATTTATTTATTAATGGTCGACAAAAACGAGTGTCTTTCTAATTATTCAATACATCACATTATGAAAGTGAAATGCTAAAAGCCTAATTAAAATACGCAATTTTCTAATAGCATCACCGACCGATATTTGCCCGTCCGGCCAGCTATGCCCTATTTCACAGCTAATTTAGCTCAGCTGTTGATGCTGACTTTTTATGTTTACGAATATGCCGCCTTCTACGCGTTACACATTATATGATAGAGTTACAATACCCTCTAAAAGGGTATAAAAAGGTGGCACCCGGCTTATCTGTGAACCTTACGCTCAATATAACACGCAGCTGGCTGGCAATGTTAAATGATGTCGACAGGGCGCACATAGTTAATGACCAAAATTTAATATCTGAAAGATGGCGGCTTAAAGCGCATAATTTTTGGATCAGAGATTGACAACAAAAAAAAAAAGAAACAAAAATAAACAAAGAAAAATAATTGCATAAAATGTGACCAATATTTATTGGAGGATATAAATGGATCTGCGCGCTAAAGCCAATTTAATAAAGCGAAAAAAAATCTTCAGCTTTTCAATTCTCCAACTTATAAAAAATTGTAATGTTGGTGGACTCTGTTGATTGATTTGGTGTTTAAATTTTATACAAATCACAAAATATTGTGAAAACATTTGGACTGATTTAATAACCAAATCTAATTTTTTATAGAATACTCTTTTTTTTCTCTTACCATTATAAAAAAACTACTAGAAAACAACGTGCAAGTAGCACATGTAAAAGCGATGTTAAAGTTAATGTAAAAGTAGTTCAACAAATAGTCTGCAAAACATAAATCAGAGCTTGCCCCTGGAAAAGAAAAACTGGTGTCATAAGAGGAAGCTGTAAGTTTGGCAGCGGCGACACCCGCATCCTTGGCGCAAGTTTTCCGCTGTGGACATTTGTTAATTGTCAGCCGGAGGTTTGTCCGTTAGCAAACATGCAGTTGGCCAAAAGCCAACGCGGCCAACACGACAAATCGGTGAAACGTTAGAAAACGCAAAATGGTAACAATTTAATTAACTTTTTGGTACGTAATTTGCGCTGGCACTTAAAGTACTTTCGACTGTCGCCTTTTGGCCCGGCACTTGACTTGTTTGTACCTTTTGCATGTTGCTATTGCTAATTACGCAAATGTTCTTAACTTTAAAATTGCGACGCCATTTTACGCGCCCTGCGTGTGAAATTTACAGCGACAACAACACCCTATTCTCTCCTAGCCACGCCCACTAACTGTGCACTTTGTTTTGTCTGTTTAACTTTTGTTCATAGCTCGCTGACTTTTGCTGATTGTGCAACAGTGCAAAGAATCCTGGCAACTGCACTGAACATACAGCTACCACCACTACCTGCCACCTGCCCCTCTGTACTCCAAACCTTTAACCTTTGTGATATGCACTTGCAATTTATTTATTTTTTTGTATATATATATTTGTTAGTTTTGAAAATTAAAATCTTTACTCAGTGCAAGGTTATGTAAAAGTTGATGTTTTTGATGTGCAACAGTGCGTATTCGTGTTTACCAAGTGTTTATCTGTAATGAGTATGCGGTTTCATAAGGCTAATGAAGTTTCTGAATATATTGTGCACACATTTAAATAAAGTATACATCAATGAAACAATCCATAAGCTGAGAAATTAATATTGCCATAGACTTTTTGCAGGTTTTCTCTAGCGTCTTACAGATAGAACTAAGAACTGTAGATAATTTATATAAAAATAAAAAAGTAAGCCTAAGTTTATCATAAACAATTGTATCTTACTTTAGAATTTATTTTCGACCGATCGTTCCTATAGCAGCTATATGATATAGTGGTCCGATTTAAATAGGATTTTGCATATATATGAGGAGCATAGTAAAACTAATAAATGCCGAGTTTGGTCAAGATATACAAAATTGATAAACAAAATGTTTTTTCATACAAAAACTTAATTTTCGAGAGAATTTATATAAAAATAATTAAGGTTATTAAAAATTGAGTTAATTGTAAACATAAACATCTTTTATCTTCCAAATTCCAACTGTCGATTTCAAGAAAGGCAATTTGTCAGGCAAAACGTTTCAGAATAAGGCACAAAGAGGAAACACAAAAACTGAGCTTGATCGAGAGAGTAGTTTTCAGAGGGTATTAAAAGCCTTTAAGGAAATCGTAAGTTTCACACTAAAACTGAATCACTTTTATTCTATTTTTGAAGAGTTATGAGTATAGAATTTCTATTTTTACTCTATTAGGTAGAACTAAGTATATTTTGTTTTGTAAGTTTTTAATGGCGCTTTTTTTTCTTTGATGACATTGAACAATACTCCAATTTACATCAAAGTGCTGTCTCATAACTTCAATACATGTCCCAAGACAACTTCCGTAAACTTTTCACAGTCCTTTTTGATATTTGAACTTTGCAAATGCCAAGCAGATTTTTGGCTCCCAAATGCATTTTATAGCAAGAACACAAAACAAGAAGCTCAGACATGGCCTTAGATTTACACAGAAGCACACACCTAAGCACACACGTACACCTTTGGCAGCTGCTGTCAGTCAATTTCCATTAAGTCAACACCTTATTGAATTTTATTGTAAATTGAAAAAAGAAACTGCAAACTGCAAAATTGCTAAACAAAGACACATGAGAAAATTGTTAACACATAATTTGAGATTTGGAAAGCAAATTGAACGGATCCAACCGTGGCTACTACATTTATATATAGCATAAGAACGTGAGAGAGAGAGAGAGAGGGTGGGAGAGAGAGTGTTAATAATATGCTGTTCATTTTAGCAATTAATTTACATAACTGGCCAACAATTGTGTAATTTGCATTTGTAACATAAATTATCACGCAATGAAAATAGTTTTCAAATTTCAGACAGCGAGCAGCACAGGGTGTTCAGGGGTAAACCATACGCAACTATCGATAAATTATAAAGCCGTTGACAACGGCCTCTCATTCCCATCACTAACACACCCATCCAAACAAAACAGGAAACAGCAACTGACTAATTTTTCGCCCTCTACCCCCATTTTAGGTGTTTCACCAGAACCGCAAATTTTATGCACGTTATAAATCACGACGACGACGACGACTGCGAAAATGTTCACATTAATTGTTGCAACGTCATTTTCGGGCCTATTGTGTCGGGTAGTTCGGCTGGGGTCGCACTCTGCAAGGCTAATAAAAGGCGTTCGCTCTATATATGTGGCTCCAGACGCCTTTGTGTCACGTGGCAATTTCGCAAAAGGAATTTCAACAATGTAGACGTTTTTACAACAGTTTGGGGCCAGCGGCAACTGGCAGCAGCAGCAACAGCAGTTGCACAAAAAAAATAAAGAACTCTCAACTATTTTTCCTTTTTTTTTTTGTTTGGCGCATAGGCAAATGTGCTTGTTGGAGGAGGGTGGTGGCAATGAAACATGACTGTTTAGAGGCTGGATTTGGGATTTGTCAAAGGCGCGCATACAATGCCGTACAAAGTCCGTCGCGGCTGGGCAATTTTCATAATTTTACATTTAAGACCCTGCCCAAGCTGGGCAGCGTCTGTCTGTGCTTTAAGCGAAATTCCATTAATGTGCCAACTTTCAATAGGTACAACAAAAAAAAACATATATATAAGCCCATCACTAATTGCGCAGCACTTGCACATCGCTAACTTCCAATAAAAAAAAAAGTTTGATTTTCTTGCTACGCATTATTTGCACGCTACGTACACACACAAATGTAAGGTTACAAGGTATATGTATGTATGTGCGTTGATGTTTGTGTGCGTGGGGTAGAAGGCGCACATAAAATGCAGGCAAAAACACTCGTAACGTAAAAGTTATGCACAAAGCCAAGAACAGCAAAAGGGCGTCGTTAATATTTCAAAAACAGAAACAGCCAAACAAAACGGAGCAGAAATGCTCAAAATATACTCACACACACACACAAACGCATAACAAAAACGTACGGGCAATTTTCAATAACAGCAAAAACAAAAACACAACACTAGACAATTGCACGTGTCCATTCTTGACTTGTGCAATGTGAAAATATTAAAAGGCATATTTGTCGCTTGGTCAGCATAAAGACAATAGGTGAACCAAGGCACAGGGGCACAGCAACAGCAGCAAATGAGACAAACGGAAGATGCTCGTTGCACGTAATTTATGGCCCAGAGTCAATGTAAGGTTAGGTTGAGTTCGGTTTGAGCGTCGCACGCACATTTGCAAAAAGCTGTCAATGTGCTTTGTGTCTGTGTGTGTGTGTACATTTGTAATGGGGGGGACCCGACACTGCAAATTAATTGTGGACAACGCAGGGCACAACTGAGCTGAGCTAAGTGGCTGCTTGTGGGGCTTAAATGTCCATTTATCACCTGCTCGGTCAAAGTTCAAAGGATGAGACCAAGTTCTTACATGTGCTTTAATTAGCTGGTTGCACTTACCTATTGCTTTCCTCAAGCTCTCGTTTTATTTCGACCATTCTCTTATATGGTTGCATATCTATATATTTTTTTTGTTTGCATATGCTTATGATATTCACGCAAATAATCGCACAATTTTTTACAAGCAAACGAAAGTTTTAAAAAATGCCCGCACACAGACGCAGCGCAGAAAAAGTGTAGCCCATGCTTAAATAGCCAGGGCTGCCACATTGTCGCATCAGCTTGGCAGCGCTGCCAGATTCATGTAAATGCAAATTTGAGGTCACACTGCACGAACAGCTGCTGAATTTGCCGCCAAATTGAATTCAAAAATTAGATTCAAAGCAGTTCGTTTAATAATATTTTGTTCGGAAAACAGCCTTAGGGATTACCAACACCTGTATGAGTATTTGTTAATATTACTAACAACCTTTCAGCGCTTTAATGGAAACGGCGCAACCCAGCCGCCAAAGGCGCGCTCCAGCTCCTCGGCCACAGCCAAGCACAGGCGATCATTGTTGTGATTGGACACCACCTGTATGCCCAGGGGCATGCCCTGCGCATCCAGACCCATGGGCACCTGCGTCGCCGGCAAACGCAGCACATTGAACAGGCTGAAGTAGCTGAAGTCCATAAACTTGACCAGTGGATAGTAATGAAAGGGTGCCGTGCGTGGAGAACTGTGAAAGATCAGCACTCCGTTCTCACCCAGCAGCTCTTGCAGCGCTGCCTTGCACTTTTTGGTTGCCTTGCGCATCAACGCCTCGTTCTCCTTGGGCAAGATGTTATCCAGCAGCGAGTAAATGGCCGCCATACTGTATTCGCCCTGACCCAGCAACTTTTTGAATAGCTCCACAAACGGATTCAGCTCGACGCCGTTGCCCAGCAGCTGATTGAAGTTGGCCGGCTCCTGGGTCATCCAGTAGCGCCACATTTTGCCGGTCAGCTGCGTCTCCGGCAGCTTCGTCAAGCGCACCTCCTTTCCGGTCAGCGACTCAAAATGCTTGCGCACATTGTACATGATGCGCTCCGTTTCGCGATTGATGGGATTGCACTGGCGCATCCCAATGCTGGGCACATAAAAGTAGCGCAGACTCTTCACATCCACCTGCTCATCCAGCTTGAGCACACTGTGCAGTGCTGGCTCCAGCAGCACCTTCATAATGGGCCGCAAATCGCTGGCATGGCGCGTCATGGGACCCGCACAGACCATTGTCTCCTGCTCCTTGCCGGTGCGAAAGGTGCAGCCGGCCATATTAACGGCGCCCGCGCTGGGCTTGTGCCCGAAAATGCCACAATTAAAGGCCGGAATGCGTATGGAGCCACCTATATCGGTGCCCAGGCCAAAGCCAGTGCAGCAGGCTGAGATTAAAGCGGCTTCGCCGCCCGAGGAACCGCCCACGGATCGCCTCAGATCGTAGGGATTATTGGTGCCGCCAATTAGCATATTGCGCGACTCGATCCACTTATTCACCTCCGGCACATTGCTGGTGGCTATAATAATGGCGCCGCTTTGCTTCATCAGCCGTACACACTCCGCATCATGCGTGGCCCGCACATCCTTGCGTGCCAGCAGGCCCAAGGTGTGCAGCTTGCCGGCCACAGAGGTACTGTCCTTGGTGGTGAACGGTACGCCCAGAAAGGGCAGCGCCAGCAGCTGGTCATCTGTATAATGATTCGCCGCCAGCTGCGCATCGATAACGCGCGCCTGCTCCAGTGCCTCCTTCACAAAGGGTCCATCGACGACGGCGTTCAGTTCACGATTCACAATTTCGATGCGGTCGCAATAGGCTTTGACGATATCGTAACTTTTTAGCTTGCGTTCGCGTATTTGTTTTGCCAGCTCAACGGCGCTCTTGGTCAATATGACCTGTTGGTCCACATTTGGAAGAGTTGCGACACGCTTCTGTGGACCCAGATACCAGCCCAGGGCAAACTCCAACAGGCGATCGGTTATGATGTGGACAAGGGTTAACAGAGCCTCTAACAATATTTTCCAAAAACTCATGACGAATTTCTATTTTTCTTATCTTTTTGAACCACGCGACGTCTTGTAAAGTCAGCAAGTATTTAAGATATATGTACATGCATATCATAAAAAAGTTGTTTTTAATTACCCTACTGGCGTTGCCACCACAACAAAGTTTTGCAGCTTTACATAAACCGGTATGAAAAGCTCTTTATTCAAACAGCTCAACAGCCGTTAAGAGCTGGGGGTCTCAAACGTTACGACTGTTGTTGCAACTGATAATATGTACGCTGTTTCTTCCGGCAAAAGACTTAATAACTAAAATTATTCAATTAACCTATTTTCCAACACTTAGTGATTTAAAAGTAAATATCTCACGATTTTGAACAGTTGTGCTGGTAAATAGATTTAGATACATAAAATATTAGGCTTCGCGATGGCGTTGCCACCTTGTTTAGGATTTTATATATGAGCGAAATCGCTTTCAACTGCATTGATTTACCTAAGCCTTACTATTTATTGTATAAAATGAATTAATTTCGATTGCATGACATTGCCTGCAAGAAATTGGCCGTGTCACGACGCAGCATGCATGAACCATCATCGACACGAAACACGCCACCAGCAACAACAATAAAAATAAATATCGACCCGTCGCTGCCGTCGCCGCAGCTGTGAGTGGTAGTTGCTTTACCGTCGCGCTGCTAAAGCGTCGCCAAATTGCTGCTGTCACAGTACCTGTATCGAATTTTCGTATGTAAAAACAAACGAATGCCAAAATAGAAAGTCAACTCATTTTAATGCAAATGCGTTTAACTTAAATGCTAAAACTGTGCGAAATTATATTAAAACGTTGCATATGCAACGGCCAGGGCCACACATGTGTTTGTTTTTCTAGACGAGTGCATCTGTGTGTGGCGTCTTGAGAGTGTATTTGTGTGTGGGTGTGCGTGTGCGTGTATGTGTAGCTGAGAAGCTCAGCAACTGCTCAAGTTGCATATTTGATTAATTTATCATTCAAGGAACTGCGCCTGACGTGCACTTGCCCAGATCTACGTAATCTGTTGCCTGAAAGCGTGTTGATGATCATTAACTGCAATTGGTTTGCTTAGCGTGTTCGTGTTTGTTTACTTGTCGCATTCAGAATCGCCGCTTAAATTTTCCTTGTGTGTCGTAAGTCGTTTGATAAACAAACAGTTTCGTTGTTGTTGCGGGTGAAAAGTACGTTTTACATTCTGTGTAAATACAATAATGTTACTATTCTCATATATGTTTGGCCATGGGGTGTGCGATCTGCATATCTGGCTTAAGTGTAAACATTTTGCTGTCTAGAAATAAAATTTATGTACGCTGGCGTAAGCTGCTTGATAAATCATTTTAAAAAATGTAATTTTAGCTTATACTGGTACGTTTTGCTGCCCGGTACGCAGCTCAGCTTGTGTGAAATTGGATAACGTTAAAATTTGCTTATGTCCTGATCGTTCAAAAATAAATTTCACTTAATGGGGCAGAAATTAAAAATCGTTGAAGAGCACTGCACTGATTTTTGATCTTAATACCTATAAATGGAATTTTAAGAAACAGCATTTTTTCGATCATTTCATTTATTTTCAAATAAGGGTGATGTTATTTAAGAATTTGAATGAAAATTTTGCTTCACAATTTGTGTAAAGCTGCATGAAGCTTAAAGCCGATGTTATATAATTGAATAAATAGTAAAATAAACGGTTTTCCTCGAGCAAAACATCTGAGCTGCATACCTAGCTTGTGTGTACACTACATACCGCATTGGGGTATATCGTTTTTGTATTGAAAAGATAACAGATAATGCAATCTAATATTGCCGCTTCTTTCGCACGTGATAGTCCACAATTAACCTATTGGAAACTTAATGGTGATGAATAGGCAGCCGAAACGTTTGCCCAATGATTAACCCAAAGCCGAACCGGCAAGACAATCTAGAAACCGGGCCGATAACAAGTAGTAAAAGAAATCATATTGTGAGGCGAAGGCGTGCGCCAGCTGTGCGCCGGCTATAAAGCGGCCTGCCAAAGCATATCATTCGACCAAAAACACACATCGTGTCAGTCGGACGAGCTAACGTTATAAGACGAATAATCAATTATTTATATAAATATATATTATATACATATATACTGTTACATACTTTACAGTTAAACCTGTCAAACGTTCGATGGAAATGAAGCCAGCCGTCAGCCAGGTAACAGCGACGGCCGCGTCAGGTGGTGGTGAATCATCCGCTTCGGCCGCGGCTGCAGCATACATGCGACAATTTGAGAACATTATAGCGCCGGGCAATGAGGCCTCCATGACCAGAGAGTTCAAACCGCAGGTGGCCTATGAGTTTGAACGGTACTTGAATCCACAAAAACTGAAACAGCACGTGCTGCGCAGCGATAAGCTACGCGCTCTGCTGGAGCACTATGCGCGCGAGACGAAACAGCCTCTAAAGCAGCTGGAGCAACAGGCGCGTGCGATTATCGATGAGATCGGCTTGGATAGAAATATGGCCATAATACGTTGGTGTGGCATTGCCATTACGGCGATTGGCAAGCGCATTTGCGATGGCTTCTATGTCAATTCGGCCAGCATGGCCAATGTGCGCAAGGATATGGGCCGTTGTCCTGTGCTGTATCTGCCCAGTCATCGTAGCTACATGGACTTTATACTGATGAGCTACATATGCTATTATTATGATATTGAAATACCTGGCATTGCGGCGGGCATGGGTAAGTTTCACATATGTCATACTAGTTTCTGGGCCAGCCTAACATTTGAATCTCCTCCAGACTTTCACTCCATGTTTGGCATGGGCACCATGTTGCGAAAAACGGGCGCTTTTTTTATGCGTCGCTCCTTCTCCAACGACGAGCTCTACTGGGACATCTTTCGGGAATATATGTACGCCCTGGTCGCCAATTACCATATAGGCGTCGAGTTTTTCATAGAAGGCACACGCTCCCGCAATTTTAAAGCACTGGTGCCCAAGGTGGGCCTGTTGTCCATGGCATTGCTGCCCTATTTTACGGGCGAGGTGCCGGATGTGATGATTGTGCCCGTTAGCGTTGCCTATGAGCGTGTACTGGAGGAGCAGCTGTTTGTCTACGAACTGCTGGGCGTGCCCAAGCCTAAGGAGTCCACCAAGGGGTTCTTTAAAGCTCTGAAAATCATCGACGAGCGCTTCGGCAAAATGTTTCTGGACTTCGGCGAGCCCATCTCAGTGCGCGAATTCTTTGGACACGACAGCACACAGCGTATGCAACGCGCTGGATTGAGTGGACAATTGCAGAAGCTCAATCGCCAGGAAATAGAGCTGGTCAAGCAGCTGGCCAATGAAATTATCTATCAGCAGCAGCGACGCATTGTCATCAGCACCTTCAATCTGTTAAGTCTGTACTATGCCAGTCAGTTGTACGGACAGCGCTGCGTTAATCTGGACGAGGTGTCCGCCGCCATACTCCATCTGAAGCGCATGTTTGAGCAGCTGGGCGCCCATGTCAGCACCAGTACGAATAGCATCAAGGTGGACGTGATCGATACCATTGAGATACACAGCAACATTTTACAATTTCGAGCGGGACGACTCCAGTTCACGCCGCTGGCTGCCGAGCAACTGGCGGCCCAGATCGACGTGCGACGTCTGAAGGCACACGCGCTCTGTCCACAAACGATGGCGGTGGCAGTGCCCATGTTGGCCCTGCAGCTGTATATAAATCCCTGCATGTTTTGGCTGGCACGGCCCGCTTATCTGTTGCTTGCGGCGCTCAAGGAAGAGCGGCGTCAACGGAAGCTTGACACCGTGGGCACGTATGATGAAACGTTGGCAGCACTGCACAACCATGTCAGCAGTATGGATGCGCTGTTTCAGCATGAATTTATCATTGAATCGAATCGCGAAGCGGCCGAATTTGAGACACATTTGAAGCTGCTGCTGGATGAGCATGCTTTGCAGCTGCACGAGCATACGGGCCGGATTAGTGTGCAGGATAATGAGTGCTCGCGGGTTATACTGGCTGCTCTGGCTCCATTTCTGTGCCTTTACTATCAGCTGGCAGTCACGTTGCGACAGGTTAGTAAATGGTTTTGAACTCCAGGAAAACTTTGTTAACTTTTGTAAAACCCTGTCTGCGCAGATGTCTGGCGAGTTCAGCGCGAGGGATCTGTTGGTGCGCGTGCAGCAGCATGTGGAGCAGTTGCTGCAGCAACCAGGTGGATCCGCGGCACATGTACATCCCTATTGCCTGGCTTTGGACAATCTCAATATCGCCATCTATGCGCTAATACAGTCAGGCTATCTGCACAAATCTCGCGATACGGGTTTGATGTGCGTTGCTACGGCAACACCGATGAAGTGCCTCAGGCAGCTGGAGCTGCAGCTGCTCGAGTATTGCCAGCTGATGCCATTTGCCCAGTACTCGACGGCGGCCAATGAGCAGGCCCAATCGCATATGGCCAAATTATAACTGACAAACGGCAAGCGGTTGGCCAACAGCTCGCTGCCCACCGCCTTGGCAACGTCCGCAACCCAACAGCATTGTACAATATCACAATTCATACAATTCATTGTCAGCCTGCTCAAGAATTTCCGCATTATATGCATACTCATTGTGTTTGTACTTGTGGTGCCGTTGTGGCAATTACTACTGTGGCTGATCGCAACCATGTGCTCAGCTGCATAGTGTGTGCGTGTGTGCGAGTGTGTGTGAAGTTTATGGGCTAATTTCATGATGGGTTTGTCGTTTGTGTATAAGAGGGTTATTTTTATTAGTCCTTAAGTATTTAATAATAATTGATATTTTGATTTGTTGCCATACACAAAAGCTTAACCCAAAAAGATTTTGGATGCCAGTCATTGTAGGTCAAGGAAGTCAGGTTTTTTTATAGCTAGAGATCCCAACGACATTTGTTAATATGTATGCAAACATATAAACCCATTTATAGTTCTTGCGGACATTTGATATGATCAAGTTTCTAACTTTTATTTTATTTCAACTATTTACCTTATTGACTTTTAAACATTCCTGGTAAAATGCGCAAAAAGCCCTTTTAAGTGAGTTTATTTCAGTTTACACGTTATATTTTATTTACTATCGTTTTAAGTTATTTACATGTATATGGGTTCTATTTTTAAGACAAATGTTGGTAATGTTGATTTATGTTAATTTTTATGTTTGTCTGTTTAGCCAGAATGGCTTGTATCGTTTGAATAAAACAAAGTAATTTTATCTTAGTTTAATAACATCAGAAAATGTAAATATAACAATGTTAGCAATAATTCGCCATAATGTTAACCTTGTTGTATGTTATTGAAAAGGCGCTTTCACTTTTAAATGAAACTGAATGTACTGTTAGTATTGTACTGTTACCAGAATGTAGACATGTTAGTAACAGCGCATCGCTGTCTCTTGCTCTTCTAAAAATAATCCTGTTCTGTTAACGCATTGCTCACAAAAGCTACCTAACATTTAATTGCATGGACATGTTAGTAACAGCTCGTCTGAATGCTAATGTTTATGTCTCGTGCTAAAAGAGCAATTTTAATTAATATGAAAAACACTTTTAACTTTAATAATTAAGTTTAGTAAACATTACAGAAAAATGTAACCAATAACTCAACAAAGTAACCGAAAGGCTAACATATGGTGTTAACGATTTTACTAGGCAACATTTGACATACACTTTCGTAAATGTTTTTAAAAAATCCCTTACAAATATTAGAGACATCTACAACTCGCTCTTATGGCAGGTCGAGTTCATATTGAATTGTTACAATTGCCCGAAACACTGAAATCAGAATATTGTTTTTTTATAGCTGCTGTAAGATTTTCTCAAATTGCAGAGTATCTAAACTTCAAGCTGCAGCCAACGTCACGTTTATGGTTTTAAGTACATTTAATTACTAAAAGTAATTAGCGACAAGCTTAAAAGTGCCAATTAAAAAGCACTTATATTTTCATTAGCAAATGAATTAGAGTAAGTAGAGACCCTCAAGTTTGATAAATTCTCAATATTTTTATAATGCTATATGCAGAGGAATTTTCTTGTAAGAACAAAAATCAAAAACTGAAGCACACAAGTCTAGCAACAAATAGTGCAATATTTTGTTTATGCTTAAATATTTTTTAAACATATTTAATGGTATATAAGTTTTTTGTAGCTAAATTTATATACATTTATATGTATACTACAGAAACCGAACACCAATATACTAATTTATACACTATATTAACAGCAAAAATAAAATATATTAAATTGGTGCCAGTTGCGCCCTTGCGAAAGATTAACAAAAACCATTAAAAAAACCTAAAACTGATTTTAAAAATGTATATTGTATGTTTACGCAAGAGAGCGGAGAACTTTTATTGGTTAGCAAAACTCGCGCTTGAACTGTTCCAAGGTGCGCTGACTGATAACCACACGCATGAGTATTTTCTCCGCATTCTGTTCATCCGCTCTGGTGTCCACGACGGCGGCATTCTTATAGAGCCAGGCCATTTCTGGTCCGCCGCTGGGCACACGCACCTGCAGCTTTCGGCGTCCGGTGGCGGCCAAAATCTGTTTCTCCACATCCTTGAGCAGCGGCTCCAGGCCAGTCTGAGCGCGTGCAGAGATTAGATGACCCACTTCCGTATTTGGTTGCTGAACCACAGCTGCCAATTGAGCTTTCGGTGTTAATAAATCGCATTTGTTGTAAACATTGATGATGGGCGGCAATTGGCTGACACTGGAGTCTCCACCAGCTATGCTAAAGGCCAAGGAACGCAGAGTGGACTCAACATGGCCGCGCTGTGCGGAATGACAGGGATGCGAAAGATCCTGCACATGTATAATTATATCCTAAAACAGAAACACGATTATATAGCGTGCAAATAGTTGTATTTTTCACACTTACCGCCAGCATGGCATCCTCCAAGGTGGCCACAAAGCACTCAAATAGGCCGGTAGGCAAATCGGACATAAAACCCACCGTATCCATATAGATGAGCTGCTGATTGCAGGGTAAGTTGCCCGCATGCGCTGTTACATCTAGCGTGGCAAACAGTTGGTTGCGCGGCTGCAGCTTATCCTCCACAGTGAGCGCCTTTATCAGCGAGGTCTTGCCAGCATTCGTATAGCCAACGACAGCTGCAACGGGATAATTTTGCTGTTTGCGCTTCTGGCGCAGCAGTTGCCGTTGTCGACGCACGCCATCCAGCTCCGCGCGCAACTTGCGCTCCCTGGTTCGCAGTATTTCCTTTTGAAGATCACTCAGAGAATAGCCCTGGCGCCGGGTCTGCGTAACGCTCGCATCCTTGGCTAGCGCCCATATATAAGGCAGCTCCGCCAAGGCAACCTGCAGACGCGCCTCGGCGCTGGTCGCATGTAGACGCAAGATCTGTATAACTACCGAATAGCGATCCAGTACAGGCAGCTGGAATTCTGTTTCCAGAAATTGTTTTTGTGCAAAGGAGAGCGTGCCCTTGCTTACAAACAGGCAGGTTACCTGTCGCTCCTGCCGCAGATCGGTCATTAGTTGTTTGAGCTCGGCCAGCTTGCCGCTGCCAAAAAGTGTTTTGCGTTCCAGACTCTCCAATGGCACCTTGAGCGACCGAGCCACCTGCCAGTTTGGCAGCGAGTGTATCAGCGCAGTGGCCTCGGCCAGTTGATCGTCAGGCGTTACATCATTGGGCGTTGTTCGCTTTGCGGACCATTTGACATAGGGTTGCAAGATAAATACGTGTTGCGCTGTCGCCACATCCCTGCTGATGCGCATAGCGCCGCCGGCAACTTCATCGTAGGCACTGTGAAGATATAGATTAATTAAGGCTCAGACATATGGTTAAGTCAAACCCACCGATCATCCAAGAAACGCATGTCGCCGGAACTGACTGCGGTTGTATCGCTTTTCTCCTGAAGTCCCGCCTGCATTTGAGCCTCATAGAAGCTCTTACGATTGCGTATGCCCTTGACTCCTTGATGCTGTGTGTACTTAAAACGCGCTGGAATTTGGGTGATAAATGGGCGCAGCTGGGCAGGCCAGGCCACACGCAGCACCGAACGGAAGCACTTCATGACTTAAACTATACTCTTTACAATTTGGCTAATTAAAAGGTTTCCTCTTTGAGCACAGTGTGCTTGCCCTCGTATGCCATCCAAGCCGCTTGACAGGATTTGGTGCGTGTTGATGTCGTTTGATATGCAACACCAGTTGCTACTAAGGAGGAAACCAATACGTTGCACTTAACTGGATAACGTATTTTTGTTTGAACCGCCTTTTGTACAAAATATGTGCCCGCAAATCCTACAAAAAGAATAAATATTATGCAATTATTTTGACAATTAATGAAATGCCTACCTAAACAAAATGATGACAAGCCCGTAAAGAGAGCACGTGTCATGCAGTCCAGATAGCCGTCAAAGCCTGGATGTTTATCGCGTTGCTGTTCCTTCAAACGCTTGATGTCGTTCATAATAATTATTTATTTACGCATTAATTTAAGCGCAAGGAAGTATGTGCCAACCGGCTATACGATGTTGTGCTAGCTTCTCTTATTATGGGCAGCACTGTCTGTCTATTGTTAGTGCACGATCTGGCAACTACACAGCCTGTTAGGCAGCGCGCACACGATGCAATTCTTATTATCAAGCACTTAGCAGATGCAGTTATGTGTTTCTTAGAGGTGTACAAGATTAGTTTGGACTTAAATTAGATGCGCTTATATAATGGTTGCAAGTTAACTCGTTGTTTAAATGACGCATTAGTAAAAATTTGAATGATATACACACATCTACAATCAAATGAAGTATTTGAGTGGCAGATGATAGGCAGCACTTTCTGATATTAGTGTCAGCCGGTCCGGCAACGACATTCCGCTTAGTTGTTTGTGGCGTTTTCTCAAGATTTTGCTGCAAAATGGATGTGGAGAAGATTTGTCGCACTTGCCTTAGCCTCTCGGGTCCATTTTTGTCCATTTATGATGGTGGCACTGGCAGCTGCTTGGTCGATATGCTGCGCGAATTCACAAGGACTAAGGTAAGCCTTGGATTTCAAATTCCAGACGCCCCAGACTCAATTCCTGTTCTTTACAGCCACGGCGCGAGGATAATCTGCCAGCCAGGGTCTGTCTTAGTTGCATCAGCGAAATAAACCACTGCTACTCATTTAAACTCAAATGTGAGAGCTCAAACCGAACGCTGCGACAGCTGCTGCCCAATGCACTCCCCGAGGAGCCGGACCAGCCATCAACAGCAGCCAAGTCCGCAGTGGCTACGTCCGAAAGGTCAGTGCAAACTAATGCGGTGTCAACAGCCACAGCTGAGGCACAAACCGATGGGGTGGCCACATCAGATGCCGCGCAAAACACCAGCATTGAGCAGCCAACACTGCTGGCCAACGAACCTTTGATAGATGAGGTGGATGGACAGGAGGAGGAAGAGTATGACTATGAATTTACAGAAGAGCAAGAAACAGATGAGACGCCGTCCAAGGCGAGCGCCGAGAATATAATACTGCATGTGGAAAAAGACAACATTAAGTTTGAAACGGAAATGGTGTACAATAAAAACACAGGCGAGCTGCTTGAACAGGCGGTGGAAACAGTTGCCAAGCAGAAGGAGTATAAATATCGGCTTGTCAGCAATGGTAATGGCGACACATACATCTCACCAGAACCTGCGCCAACGCTCGCGCTGCCTACGCGCAAGTGTGCCACAAAACTGCCTAAGGAGGAGCAATCGACGCATCAGGAGTCACAGTCAACGTCCAAGCGCAGCGTGCAGCATCAGCCGGAGGAACAGCTGGATGTGCCGTCGCCTGCAAAGAAATCAAAACCCATTAACTCAAATGGCACACCTGCAGGTGAATTGGATGAATTGAAGGCCAAGTTCCACTGTGATCGCTGCAATGCAGGCTTTGCGCTGGAGAAATCCCTGATCATACATCGGCGGCAAAATAGCTGCACCCATCGCAATTTCAAATGCAACGAGTGCGAAAGGGTATTTGTCTCGCTGGATCATTTGACCGAGCATCAGGCAACGCATGGTGCGTTCATATGTCAGGAGTGCGGCTTGCGCTGCGAGTCCATGGAGCAGCTGGGCAGGCACATGGTGCAGACGCACAAACGGAATCTACGCAATCAGTGCAATGTTTGCCAGAAGGGTAAGCCAAGGAGGAGGATTTTGCTACTTTCAGTCTTAAATTTCTCATTTTGCAGTTTTCACCATGTTGTCCACGCTGCGGGATCACATGCGTATCCACACCGGTGAGAAGCCATTTGTGTGCAAAGTTTGCGGAAAAGGCTTCACACAGAATGCGAATCTACGCCAGCACATGATGCGCCACTCGGACATAAAGCGTTTCAAGTGCGAGCTGTGCAATCATTCATTTGTAACCAAAGCGGAGCTGACCTCCCATGCGCGCACCCACACCGGTGTCAAGCCGTATCAATGTGAGGTCTGCTCCTCCAGATTCACCACCAGCTGCTCCCTGGCCAAGCACAAGCGCAAGCACACAGGCGAGCGACCCTATGCCTGTGACTTGTGTCCCATGCGGTTCACAGCGCTCAACGTGTTGAAGAATCACCGACGCACTCACACGGGCGAAAGGCCCTACGTTTGTCCCTTCTGTTCCAAGAGCTTTACGCAACGTGGCGACTGCCAGATGCATCAGCGGACGCATCAGGGCGACAAGATCTACATATGTCCTGTGTGCAGCGAGGAGTTCAAAACGATGACTGATATGCGCACGCATCTGACGATGCACGAACAGGACGACAAGCGATTGGTGCATTTCACCCTGCTGAGCAACAAGGAGAACGGAAATGCGGCGCTAGAGGAGGCGGACGAGGAGTCGGATGCAACCGATTTGCTTTAGGTGATGGAGGCGCCGGCAGCGGCGGTGGCTACTTTTCCCTGTGGGAATTTTAAATACGCTAGGTCTTAAGATGGGATGTTCCATAGATTAGAGCTGGAAAATTATCGACAGAGCTGATACTCTCGATATTTAACATTAGGGGTTTTCAGTGTAAACGGATTGGGGGCTTTATACTCGGCACTTATCATTAGTCGGAGCTGTCAATTGTTACTATCGATATTTAGTAAAAGATGTAGAAAATATTTGTTCATATCCTAAAGCTACATTAATAACTATTAAGCTCGCGGTGTTTCAAGCACAAAAAAAAAATACAAAATATATGTGTATATACAAACAGTAGTTTATGCTCTGATCAGTTGGATCGATCAGTTGAACTGTTGCTATAGATGTTTAACACAGGGGTAATCAAAAAATAAGGGGCTTTTATAACCTATTGATGGTTCGAGCTGTAGTTAGTATCAGGGTATGGACATTCGGAGTATTTAGTGTGTGTATACAACCTTTTGAGGCTCATTAACATTCTTTTTTATATAAAATGTAAAAGTTCTTATGAAACTAAAAACCATGCTTATCGATTTATCACAAGCACGCCCTATTATCAATAGTTCGGCGGTAGCCCGATTGTTTTCCAGCTCAAATTTAAATTATGACATTTTTTTGTAGAATTTCCTTAGTCTTTAATTTTAGCTTACAACAATAGTTATTAAAATGCTTATGAATCGATATATGCACTTGGTCGTCTAGTAGAACTGTCCAAACTGGGGCGGCTGTTGTATCGCCGAGGTGGACGCCTCTGTCGTGGCGACAGCGACAGGCAGATTGAGTGATGCGCCGCTGGTTACAGGCGGATCGCCTTGAAACCAATTAACCAGCTCATGATGCGCACTCTGCACGCATTTGCGCTGATCGGCAATCAGGTTTTCTGAGTATTTCACATGGTTGGCATACGCCTCCTTCTCGTGCTGCGCATCCTTGGACATCCGATGCAGATCCTTCAGTATCGCCGAGCCCCACAGCTGCACATGTATATCAGGTATTTTACTCGCCAATTGCATGGCTGGCGTCACCATATTCATGCTCTCCTTGGAGTTGCCTATGCTAAGGAAGACATGCGAGAGTAGCACCAGAGAGCAGCTGGTCAGGCGATTCAAGTCCTCCGCATTTGCCATTTTAAGCGTTTCGCGCAAGAACCGTCTATGGAGATTAACGAATTGTGAAAATGGAACACTCTGTAATGGCATTATCTACTCACTTGGCCTCATGAAAGCTGTTTTTGTGGAAGGCATGCAATCCCTGGACATAGTAGAAGCCACCCATTAGCGCCTGACTGCTGTACGTGTGCGTATTCTCCGTGGACACTGCGTCGAGTATTTGCTTGAGGTCTGCTTCCCGTTTGGTGCGCAGATATATGATGGCCAGATTGAGATTGGCAAAGAGCTTGAGATCCCTTTCGCCAGTCTCGTTCACACACACCAAAAACTGCCGCTCCGCATGCTCAAAGAAGCTCGTGGACATGGAATACAAACCGATAAGGCAATGCAGCTGCGCCGAATGACGCTTAAGCAGGTTACGATGTGGCGCCGCTATACACACATCGCGAGCAGCGGCTATCTCACGTATGGCTAGCTCACGATTGCCCATGACCATGCGACACATGACAATATGCTCCAGTAAGATGACCTTAAAGACGGATAATATGGATTTGTCCTCCTGCAGTTTCAGTTTCTCGATTTGTGTTAGCGCCTTTTCCGTATACTTTTGCGCCTTGTCCATGTAGCCGGCCATCATGGAGTGCGAGACGGTGACGAGATACACAAGCACATAAAGCTGTTCCTTGGGCAGCCAAACAAACATCTCCAACTGATTGGCACCAAAGATGACCTCATCGCTGGGCCAATTCGGCGCCATAATGGTCTGTATGGACATTTGTAGCTGCTTTAAACTGGGCTTCACCGTTTTGACCTGCCCCAGTGCCAGATAGTAGCACACTTGCAGCACCAGGAAAAACACCTTAAGATACTCCTTCTGATGCGGATTGGGTATGTTATTGTCGATTATCTGGCCCGCTGAATTAAGCAGCGCCAGCACATCGTTCGTTTTCCGTTCAATCATTAGGATCATTGCGCGTGACAGCAGAAATAGCACCTTTAGGTATGTGGCGCCCGCCTCCTCGGCAGATTCGGCGCCCACGGCCAACAGATCGCTGGCAAGCGAATATTCACGATCGTTGGCGTGTATCTGGGACAGTTGCAGGAGCAGCTTGCAATGCCAATAGACATTGTTCTGTGATAGCTCCACCGCACGTCGCAGCATCGCTTTGGCGTGTGAACTTTGCTCCGTTTGCAGATGCAGCTGTGCCAGAAGCGACGCCGTGTCAAATTTGACATCATCAAAATTCATTAGCGGCTCTGATATGCTCCACGCCTGCTCCAAATGCTGACGCGCCAAATCTATGTTGCGCGTGTAGGCCATTAGCACTTGCCCCATTTGCAGGTGTGTGCGCGCCTCCACCTGGAGCGTTAAGAAATTCAATCGATTGGATATGTTAATAAATTGTATTTGCTGTTGACTTTCACTTGAACTTACCTTTGAAGGCGGCTGAAAAGTGAAGAGCGCCTGTAAACATTGTATGCACTTCTTTATATTTGGCGGCTGTGAGGTACGGAAGTATTCGGCGAGTCCGAGCAGCGATATATAGCAGGCATCCTGTGATGCTGCTGTGGTATTAACTCCACTCATTGCGTTTAATTGCTAAAATCGGCTTCGTTTTGTTTATCGCGTAATTTTGTTGTTGTTGTTGTTGTTGCTGCTGCGTGGGTTAATGTGGTGGTTAATCAGTGTTGGTAAACATTGCGGCGCAGTGTTGCTGTATGCGCCATCGATGAATCGTTAACGTAGTGGCAGTGACAAAAAAAAATCTTAACTTATTAAAAGTTATATGTTTATTGGAGCTTTAAATATTTATTTTATATAATCTTCCTCATAGCAATAAAGTATGAGTTTTAAAGATGTGCATCTTTAAAAATACCATTAACACCCTCGTATCATAGCAAACTTATTCGATTACTGCTATCGAATAATCGTTATATCAAAATATTACTCGAGCCGCGCTCTGCAATAAGCTCAGTACAAAATTTTAAGCGGTTGCAGCAAGTCGTGTTTTGGGTGCAATTCAAGTGATTAAGTCTTATCAAGTAAAAGGTATTTAAAAATGTATTTTATTAAAATCTATTATGACCACAACGACCAGTTTTTTGTTTTAAATCGAGCACTCATCACTTATGATTGTCATTAATTTTTGCAATTGCTATTTATAATTGCACAATCTATGGTGAATTATGTGCACTTAAATCTCCTGCTCCAGTAAATAAATGGCTTTCTGTTGTTGTTATTGTCACACGCAATCACAATTCGCTATCGTTATACAAAATGAGTGTGGAGTTTGATATATGTGGAATTTTGTAATGGCATTGTTATTGACGCTGGCTTCTTGAAGATATATATATATATTTATATATATAGAAATATTTATATGTATGCAAGTCTTAATATGGATTTACCCTGGTGACTTGAGATTAGCATACTGACGACAAACGGGCCCTTTTCTGCTCATTACGAAATTCGAATTAATTTTAAAAATGAACACCGTATCAGTGATAACCATTATAAACTGACCCCAATTGGGGTCACTCGCCAAATACTCATGTATTTTCTGACGAATTTAATTTTTCAAAGAAAACTACTCAATATAAATGTTATTGTTTTATTATTTCTCTATTAGCAGCAATGACTTTCATGTACAAACAAGCAGTATGTATAGTTTGCACGTTCAATACTTTGCGTCAACTTCAGTTGGAAATTCCCTAGAAACAAGTTGCTTTGTTGTTTGCTTTAGTTTTTTTTTGCCAGTGTGGGCAGCGCCGGCGCGAATGGAGGCTTCAGCTGTGTTGGTAAACAGCGTGCAAAAGCTTAACATCAATACGGGTGCGAGAAGAAGAAGAAACTAAAAAAAAAAAACAATTACAAAATCGCCAATACAGGGTCAAAAAAGAGCGCGTAAGCGTTGAAATGTTAACAATTTATGAATCACGCACATATTTACAGTGCACATAACTGTGTGTGGACTCGAAACTGGTTTTGAAAATGTTAATTTTGTGTTGGGTTTTTTTTATTTAACGATGCAAAGCGTTTTCATTGCGTCGGCAAATCACGCAACTGTGACGTCGGGCAGTCAGCTGCGAAAGCCGGCCAAAAGACACTCGCTTTTTTTTCACGCTCAGCTGAATGCAACAACAAAAACAATCACAAATAGCTTTGTTGTTGCGAATTCGAGTGCAGACAAACTGATAAACTTTCACTTTTCGCCGTCAGCTCAAGAGCAAGATGTTGCAACTGCTTCAAGTTGTGATTAAGATAAATTAGCTACGACAACTTTGGGCGCATCGCCAAGGTGAATCAGCTTTAAGGGATTTTTAATGACCTGCAAGCTTGCGCTGCATAAATTTGCCGGCTTAGAGATTTTTGTTTATATTAAAGCGCACAATAAAATTGGCAAACGATCTTTACGCGTGACGAATACTAAACAGGCTTATTAAGGCACGTTTTTCCCATGATCATGTTAGCTGTCGATCACTGTGCAAAAGTTGCAAGGCACCTTATCTGCTTTGTAAGTATTACCAATGAATTCAAATTTAAGAGCTAAAGTGAAGTTAGAAAAGGAAGAAACCGATTTATGTATGTGCAGGATGCAAATATGGATTATGGATGCAAATATAAATATTTGAAACTTGAATATGTACAGCTGTCAAAAATAACTGCATTATAAACAAAAATTTATCCGGAGATTAAAATGATTTGTATAGCTATATTGACCTCTCAAACTAATAAAAAGACTTAATTAAATTATAAATGTTTTGTGTGTCGATGCACTTTCTACAAACACTCCGACAAATAAATAAGATTCATAATAATAAAAAATCACTCTGCAAGGCTATGACACTGAATTCCACTCACGTAATATTTGGCAAGAGTGTTGCCAGCCCACTTGCCACATCGAAGGTCACTAATCCCAAACTCTCGTAAATCGTATCTTTGCAGAGAATGAAGTTGTGTTTATCACTGGTGCTGCTGTTGCCGGCGCTGCTAAGCGCCGAATTTTGTGGCACACCAACCGATCCCAGCATGTCGTCCATACGTCCCAATTTGTACCGGGGACAGCAGGAGTTCTCTGTGGCCATGCTGGATGCCATACGTAAGGCGACGCCCAATGAGAATGTCTTCTTCTCACCCTACAGCACTTACCATGCCTTATTATTGGCATATTTTGGCGCCACGGGGGAGACGGAACAGGAGCTGACCAAGACGCTACGATTGAGCTGGGCACCGTCCAAGGAGGCTGTGCGTAGCGCATATCGCACGGAGAAGCAGGCCCGTGCTCTGCGAGCCAAGGAAATGCCCTTGGAATTCTCCTCCGCCGATCGTCTGTACTTCGATAATCAGGTGAGCCTGGCCAGCTGCTTGGATTCTCGTCTACACGACGAAATTGTGCAGTTGAACATCAGGGATAATGCGGAGCTGACGCGTCAGCAGATCAACTCATGGATTGCCAATGTTACACACGATCAAATCAAGGACATGCTTGCCGCCGGCGATATCGACTCGCGCACTCAACTTGTGCTGGCCAACGCGGCCTACTTCAAGGGCCAGTGGTCTAGTCGCTTCAATGCAGACAAGACCGAACAAATGCTTTTCTATACGTCAAGCGAAAACTATTCCTTTGTGCCGATGATGAAGCAGAAGGGCAATTTTCTCTTGAATCCGGATGAGCGCCTAGGTGCCCATGTACTGCAGCTGCCCTATCGCACATCGATGAAGGAAACCGATGAGGATTCGGATATATCTATGGTCATTATACTGCCACCCTTCAACACCGATGCTCTGGAACGGGTACTGGCCAAGCTAAATGCCGAGACGTTGGAGGCAGCACTCAAGGAAGCCTCGTCTCGCGAGATTGAGGTTTCGCTGCCCAAGTTTGAGTTTGAGCAGCGTCTGGAACTCGTGCCGGTAAGTGCGCAGACTTATGACAAGTCCAAGTACACCTATATTGATCGAAATACTTTTCAGATCCTGCGTGAAATGGGCATCAATCAGATATTCGATAGCAACGCCAGCTTCAATGACTTTAGTACCGAGCAGAGCATCAATTTCGGTGATGCCAAGCACATGGCCAAGATCAAGGTAGATGAGGAGGGCAGCGTTGCGGCGGCGGCCACCGTTTTGGTTAGTTTCCGTTCGGCCCGACCCATTGAACCTACCAAATTTGAATGCAATCATCCATTTGTATTCCTGATTTACGATCACAAAGCGAGTGCTATTCTGTTTACGGGCATCTATCGTGATCCCAAGACAATGAAATAAATGCCACGCCCCCATAGGAAGATGCGTGTCAGTATGCCAGTGCCGCGTGCGAGTGTGTGTGTGACTCCTGTAATAATTTAACTTACAATCGCTAACCAAATTTTGTCTCGAATAAGCGCAAGGACCTTAAGCCTGTAATTTTATTTGTAAAATAAATTATAGGAATGTGTATGAACAAACCATTATAACTTCTAGAGATTCTCGTTGTTTTCTTCTATATATATATATATATGTTTATATATATTTAAAATGTTTAAAACTCCAACAGATGCCCGACTATTTGTCAGCAGTGTAAGATTCGGAATATGTTTGAGAATTTTGCTTTTAACCCCGCATTTACTTCCACCCCTTTAGCATTAGTCCGCTGTCTGAGAGAGAGGCCTCTGCTCAACATCTAAGATCTCCATTGAAATAAAATACTTATAGTTAAGCATTCAGTTTTGCACTTTTTCTAATTTCTTTATAAAAAAGATAATGTACATGTACATATTGAATTCTTTCTTTTTTTCTTTTAAGTAAACATTGCTACATAAATACAAAATTAGGAATTTAAATGAGCTACTTATGAGGAGCTTAGGCAACCTAGTTAACAAACACGCGTATATACAAAAAAAAAAAAAACTTTAATGCTTAAAGCAAAGAAATTATAGATTGAATACTTAATCAGTGTTTATGTCTGGCGGGAAAATTGAAATTTCTTTTCGGCAACTAAATTTGTATGTCATGGCTAAAGCAAAAGCACTGAAGGCACTTTATGTTAGCAAGCGGCACTACCTCCATCCTCTCTAACTCTCACTCTCTGGCTCTATAAAGTGCAACAATTTACAAAATAATCAGATGTACTAGTCAATAATGCCTGTTGCTCCTCGAAAACTACAGCTTAAATTCATATATTCTTTTGTTACAGGGGGGGGGGGGGGGGGGGGGGGGATCATCAACAAACAACAGGCTAGTGCGCAATCAGTATAGATTATCAGAGTTAATTTATAGGTCGTTTGGGGGCATGGCCACCGCATAGATAGCAAATCCAATGAATACAATGCCACCCACAATGGTGACAGTGCGCACCGAAATTTTGGAGGCCACCAGGCGACCGCCAATCACAGCCAGACCAGTGCAAATGCAATGGCCAAGAATGCCGCCAACAATAACACCATAGACGTCCTGAAAGAGTCGATGAAGGGAAATTAGTGAACGAGTGTACCCAATGAAATGGACACATTTAGATTTGGAGCACCCACCTTGCTAGCAGCCAGAATGATGGTTGTCAATTGCGAACGATCGCCCCATTCGGCAAGGAAAGTCATCGTAAAGGCCTGGGCAAAGATGCGCATGGTAAAATAGGTTGCGCCACGACGTTGTACCTTGCTGCGACGTCCACTTTCCGGATCATGCACCAGCGCCGTGTTAACATCACGGTCCAGCTGCAAGTTAATTTTGGAGCCAATGTTAAAACACAGATCAAGTCACAATTTGAGTTTAGTCAGTTTTCAAAAACTAGATGAGGCGTATGTGTGCAAAGGAAGAACAAAGGGAAACAACGAAAACGGAACTTCCACAATTAATAGAAAAAAAATTGTAAAATGAAAAAAAATATATATATATATCACAAACGATCACTTCAAACAACACATTTTTAGGTAAAAGTACAAAAAAAAGACGACACATGCATTTACATTTGTGTGTGTGCAAGTGTGCGTGAGTTAGAACTATTTGGCAATGGCATAACCTAAGTTGCAACTATGCGGAGTGTGTGAAAATGAAACAAGCCAAAATTTAATAACGAATAGCCCTAACCGCTTGCACCAAGGCATATGCTATTTACTTAAAAATAATATGCAATTACAAATTAAAAATAGGGCCGTTTAATAAGTGTGGGTGACTGTGAGTGTATGTGTCTGTATGGGTGTGAATGATTTTGTTTTGGGTATTTGGTTGGAAAAGCAGGTGAAACGTAGATGAAACAACAGGTGTTAACATTGTTGCTTGATCTCTAACCCGTGCTTTAAGCGCGGCCTCCTCGCTGTCAACACTGCCATTCAAGCTATGCATACTATCGTGCTCAGCTAGTGGAGCACGCGGCTCAGCCCCATCGATGTGGCCAGTTTCGGAAGTGGGCTCAACGGAAGCTTTGGGATTGTTGTTGTTATTGTTGCGTGGGCTATCACAATGGGTTTGTTCGGTCTGGTTCGATGAGGCGATCGATGCCGAGTGCGTTGGACTGCCATGGAACGTTGCCATTTTGAGCTGTTCCACAACACGTCCGCCATCCTTGAGCAGCACCTCGGTGTTGTGATAGTCCACATCGTTTCCAGTTTTATCACAGCTCGTTTGTTTAACATTAGTTGAGTTATTGGTGGTATTGTTGTTATTATTGTTGATGTTGCTGGTGGGTTTGCGCAGGCGATGCTGCATCTCGGAGCCATTGCTCGAATTGGTCTTGGTCACGCTGCATCCATGTATGAGCGGCTGCTCGGTTGCATCCTCCTTATCCTCTTTGACATATTTGCGCGAGGCTTTGCGCATTAGCTGTCAGTTTTATAAAATATTATCGGGCGTTTCGATTACGTTTCGAGTCGGGTTTAACACAAGGTTATAGATCAATTTTTGTTTGAAAGAAAGAATAATTAAATTTGACATTAGCTAAGTTTTGTATACAAATCGCAAATTGTTTGTTTTTGCTGAGTAAAATTGTTTTCGGGTAAATTGTTTTTGCGCTTAAGCAGATCTTCAAAGTTAGTTAATTTTGTTCTTTGGACTTGAGAAAATTTTCTTCACACTTCATGGACGTGCAATTAGTCACATAGGCGCATGTGTGCTTGTGTGTGTTTTGTAGCATATTTTATGCAAAATATAAAATTTAAAGTTCTGCGCGTCGAAGGCGCTTTAAAGCATAAATGTGTAAAACCTGCATGCGAATGATCGAGTAATGTGAACAATCGATTTCTCTTGTTAACAAAAATAAATAGTTTCACTGCCAGCGTTTCAATTGCGTCAACAATTTGACGCCACTCGATTTAAAATTCATTGTTAGCTGGGGGATTTTTGGCCTTAAATAGTTAAAAAATTATTATTATTATTAGGTCGCACAATAAGCATGCAATTAAGCTATAATTACAAAACGAAACATGAGAAGTTTAACGGTTCGCATTCAATTAGTTTGTTGTTGTGAGGAAGAGCGCAAAATGAGTTAAGACTGCAATTTACAAATATGTGTACTAGAAATACGAAAGCTTTTTACAGGCAAACGTGTCAACGAGCAAATGAAGTGATCGCCGTTTGTTGTTGTGGGTATCGTTATTTGTTTTTCAATTAAAAATAAAAAGTATTGCCTAGAATTATTTACAACCAATTAAGCGTAGCTATTAACAATAAGCTCAACTAAAATACTTCAAATAATAACAAAGCGGGGATTATAAAGAAAATTAATGTTTGGGCATATTTTGTACAGTCTAACTACAGCCAAAGCATTTACCAAGTAAGTTAAAGTATCTTTAGAGATCGTACTTACCTCATCCTCACGCTTACGCAAATCGCTTTGTACCTCTTCGAGCTCTTCTTGGGCATCGGTAGGCTTCATTTTGTAGGCATCGTACAACATTTTTAAACCAAATAATAAAAATAATGCAGTTGATATATAATACGTGTAAATCTGCCGAAAGATAAGCAACCACATTTGAATAGATATTAATCTCATTACAGATAAGCTGCAGTTTATACCTTAGGAATAAAGTTTGCTGCTAAGCCAAATACGCATGAGAGAACCGTCATAAGGGCCAAGGCGGCAATGGCACCGCCAAAGACTATCAAACGCGGGTGGCGCATTGCCATTATGGCAGCAATAAAGAAAGTCTTATCGCCTAACTCTGTTAATAATATAACAGAGATCGATGCTGTAAACGCATCGATAAAAGTGCCCTTTTTCTTGGTATCCCGTGTCGGTTCAACTTGTTTCTCTTGTATTCCATCCGATTCCGTTGGCAATTTCACTATCGACTGTTGTTCCATATTCTGCAAAATAATGAAAGTTAATTGATTACAATTTGCATAACAATTTTTAGTTCAAGTTCACTCACCTGCTGTATATCGGCTATAATTGCAGAATTCTCATCCCCATCTGGATTCGATTCGGCCGCACATATGGTGGAGAACGTGAGCACCACCATTAACGCCATTGCCATATGCCATTTGGCCGAGCGCTTTAGGTATACATTATGTCTGGTCGTTTGCCAGAAATATGATTGATTTTGTGACATCTTTGTGTGTTTGTAATTCTACTCTTTCTGCTGCTGCTAGTCTCGCATGCGAATATGTTATCCGTGTGTAGTAGCTGTAGGTAAACGTGTCCGCTTCGTCCGGCTTACTGAAAAGAAATGAGCTGGCCATAGTTAAAGCGTTCTTCACTCAGAATGTGCACAAAATCAGCCAAATAGCTAATCAGGCAACAAGTGTTCTCGCAGTAATGACTATTTGTATATGGCAAACACAACATTATCAAGTCCAAGTCTGCGTTGAACAAGCAAATCTGGCGGAGCAAACCACCAAATCAGCCCCTCCCCAAGTGTAATGTCTAGATAAGCGAACACACTGCGTCAAGTGCCGGCCTATAGTGCTGATATGGTCAGCCCAAGGTAGATCATAACAACAGCACAGAAATAAACATTTAGGTAATTCAACATTTACAGAATGTAGGTGTATATATTTACCCATACATGTACGTATATATGTATATATTGTATGAATATGTATTGCCACTGGTCGGTTCTACGTCAGCGGCACCAACCGAAACTATTGATTAGATAAAAATATGTGCCAGAAATTGGCAAATATTTGCCAATACGAAAATTAGTTACTCTTGGAAAAGTATGCTGTTATTTAGGTGACGCTGTTAGCGATAATGTAACATCTCGCTCACATGTTAAAGTTTTAAAATTTATAAATATATAAATAGATTTATAAAAGAGCGCCATTAACAGAACCCTTAAATAGATTTATAAAAGAGCGCCAATAACAGAACCCTCACAGAGTTATGTTAAAGCTCACAAAATCAAGACATATGTTATTCTTTAACATGCTTCTGATACCTGTTTAATTGAATAATCAAGTGTTACATTAGCAAGATTTTCAAATGGCTTTGTATTCACATATATTCAAGACTCGCTGTTTTTGTGAAAACTCCTTGACCAAGTTATAGTCCCCCGCTGTCGTAAGGGCATAGCAAGCCACTTAGAAACCATACGTGACCAATTGCTGACATACAAAATATCTTTTCTTATAGCACTGATTTATACGTACAAACATGTCTCTAGTCTATATTTAGCAGTCAATGTTAATGAACACGTGTTCCAACTGTATTCCTTTGATCAGACACAAGCTTAAACGCCTTTGATATGATATTTAATTTGCTTAAAGTTGGCAGATAGGTTTATGGCATTTGCATAGTTGTATAAACAAATACAACTTGATTTAAATTAATTTATGTAAAATGCGAGTGCACAATTGCGTTTTGAATTTGAAAACTTGTATTATTATCCTGTTTATAAGTAAATCAAGAACTGCAAACACAGTAGATGCTCGCGTAGAAGAACGTTTCGGATATAGAGATGATTTTATTTTGTAAAAAATTGAAAGTTTTGGAAATCTAATCAATGTTATCAAATTGATACCTCGTTTTAAATGATTGATGTCAATAGAAGCATTTGAGGACAATTTTTTATAATGAACAACGTGGATTCGGCTTCGAATCCCACGGTTGCCATTCGGAGTTAGTCCTATCTTGCCAGAATGCCACAGAAGCCAGTGCTATATTATTTTGTTAATATATTTTAATTTTGCCTTCTGAAAAAATAACCTTACTCTAGGCTCCATTTCTGCTTAATCATATTAATACATTTAGGTATTTTTTTATGGTGTACTTTTGTCTATGTGCTTCCCATTTGTTTCACATAAATCATCTCTGTCGGGTTTTTGCTACAGTCATCTCATACTTTTTATCTCTTTTATTTGCAGTCCCAGTTTATAAATATTTGTATAATAAATAAGAGATTAATTGGGCACACTCAACAAGCTTAGCAAAAGACGCAATTATAAGTTTTGCAGTTGAATAAAAATGTTTAGCGGTAAATGTAAGTGTGTGTAACTACGTAAACAGGCTCGTTACGTAGGACACATGGATGACAGCTACAGCTGACTTTGTTGTTGCTGTTGATGACGTTTCGGCAAACGTATATGCAAAACGTAGCGAAATGATAAGCAAAACGATGCAACGACGTAAGTAAACAAACAACGTCAACGACATCGTTAACAATATTTAATTAATTTTAAATGGAATACTCGAATTACAATACGTACACATATATGGACAGAGACAAGAACTCGTATTACTTATATAATTCCATTGCAAAAAAAAGTGACAGGGCAACAACTACCAATGAAAGGCAAGTGAGCAGCTGACCGACCGACAAATCAATTGACCGTTTCGGTGCCGCTAATACCCTGTAACCGCATAAAGGGGCTGCATATATGGCCCAAGGTTCACAATTATTGAATCTGTATTTGATTCACATCTATAGACATAGATATCAACCCCAATGGCTGGTAATCGTGCAGGGTATTTTACAACTACGCACACTCTTTGACTCATTTAAATCGTTTATACAATTTTTTAAATGGGTATTAATTGCAGCATTAACATCATAAATAACTTTCAGAAATTATTTTAATTTTCTTGTAAATATTGTTACTTGTTGGCATTGATTTTCATTCGTTTCCTAATATGTATACAAAAGTTTATATACACATATATATATACAATACAAATACAAACATCAATTTTTTGCTGGTAGTCTACTTTATGCGCACAAATAAAGGCATTAATTGTGCTGTGGTGTTGGCCATTTATCAGCCAATTATAGCTGTTTGCGTGGCATCCGACTTCGAATATGCGTAGATTAACGCCGTATATTGTGTAAACTTTCTAAGCGTTTAACTTTTGTATTGTAACACATACATATATGCACTTTGTTTATATTTTGTAATAAACATCATCATTTAGCCGTTTTAACAGTTCTAACTTTTTTCGCACACTTGTGGCATCACTAACACTGCGGCGCTGACGATAGCAAAATTTGCGAGGTTGTTTTACTAGATAATTATGCAAGTTTTGAGCGAACACATTTGTCGAACCATAAGAACGCATGCTGCTTTTAATGCACATCTTATTTATAGTTAGGTATAATTAAATGAATATGATTTTAAGCCAATCAATATGAAACACTTCCTTACATCGCCAGAACTCTTTATGTTAGTGATGTTAGTAAGCCGATAAGTATCGATATGACCGATGTATCTTCTTGACTTGCTTAATGTACGCTACGTTTTCACGAAACGCAAAACTGATCGACGTAAACGCAAAGAGATAGAAAGTGCGCGCGCGTTTAAAAAAAGGAAGGATTAATAAAAATGCACTGATTTTTATAGATCCTTTCTGTTAAGAATAAGCCACAGCATTTTAATATTCAAGCTAATAAATAATAATATATATAAGATATTGTTTGCGTAGTGCGTCACTATTAAGCATGCAATTGTCAGGGAAAGCCGCATAACTTTATCTTATCTTAAGTCTCCCGTATTTTTATGTTAAATTTAAGTGTGAGTGTTCGCTACTTGTAGATAAAGAAATTTGATTAAAATATTGTGTGTTGATTTTTAAACATTAACATGGAAAGCAAACCAAATACTTGGTTGGTTTATTTTAAAAAATTAACACAAAGTTAAAGCAAATAAATGGTTGAATAAAAAAGTAATAATCGTAAATAACAATTAAATGGAAGTATGCGTAACGTAAGCTATAAATGTTTGGTTTAGGGCTTTTGGAATATACGTTTAGATAAAAAGCGATTTTTCTGTACTGATCAACAAGGAATATTAAATGCGGCTAGTCAGTAAGTGTGCAAAATGGATTGGGCTCGAATGTGTGTTGTTTCTATTGCAGGTCCTGGATGTCATTGTCCTCCCACTTTGACATCGGCCTCATCCGTAGCGGCTGTTTTCGCCGTATCATCCTCTCTGGCGCATTTGCGTATAATGCTATTAAAGTACTTGTGCAGACCATATCCGAACAGGCGCACCGGTCCAATGACTAAAGCATGCAGTAGATTTGTGAAGAAGCCATCCCAAGGCATCAATGCGCCGCCCAGCATTGTGAGCAGCCAACTTTCAGCGCCCACCGTGGATATAAAGTTTCCTTGCTTTAAAAAAGCCAATTATTATTATGTAAATTGTGATAACAGTCATAGCCTACCAGCGCATCCTTAAGTATGGCCTTGGCCATAACCTCAGGCTCGATGAGACCACCGCCGCCAGAAATGATTTTAGTTTCACGCGGCTTGGATTTCTCCTCCTGCTCAAAGCCCGGCGTATTTGTATCGCAGGGCAAAGCTAATGTCACCGAAACACCATGCACACGGGACTCCATCGCAATTGTCTCAGCCATGGCGCGCAGCGCATACTTGCTGGCGGAATAGGGTCCATAGCCATATATGCCAAACAAAGCCGCTTGGGAGGAGGTTAGCACAATGATGCCTTCGCGGGCCTTCTTCATTTTGGGCAGAACATAACGTGTGCAATTGTAGCTGCCGAAGAAGTTGATATTCATCAGCTTGTGTACATCCGCAACAGCTACCTCCTCAAACAGGCCGCAAATGGCAAGGCCCGCACAATTGATTAGCGCATAGATATTGCCCGCGCTCTCCTCTAGTTCGCCCAGCACGTGTGCCACCTGCTCATAGTCGCCGGCAATGTCCAGGCTGCGATATTGAAATTTCTGCTCTGGTCGCTGGCGAATGACTTCCATTAGTGCCACGGCGCCACCTGTGGCATGCAACATGTGGATACAGACATAGAGAGAGAGAGAGTGAGAGTTGTTCGGCAGTGAAATTTGGTAGCTTGATTTTCTGGTTTTCCACTTACTCAACATTTTCTCGTCGCGAGCAATGACTGTGACATTGGCTCCTTTCATGGCACATTCCACGGCCAGGCAGAGTCCGATGCCCTTAGAGCCGCCGGTAATTACCACGTGACGGCCTACAATGCTCTTTGGTCGTTTGCCCATGACAAATATGAATATCAGAATGTGTGTTAAAATTGCAATGGCCAGGCAAAAAACAACTTCCCAAGTCAGCTCCATAGTTTGTTGTGCCGCTGATATGAAGCTGACCGATATATGTTGGTAAATTATCGATAGTTACTACAACACGATAGTCAGCTGGCAGTGTAGTGTACGTGCTGCACGTAGGCGCGAACGGTGCGGCGTTGCCAGACAGTTTAAGGTAGTTTTTAATTAATTTGCATTTAATGCACTAATAAATCTGTGAAACATTTGCAATTAATAACGTATAAGCGCTGTTATGCTTGGTAATATAAATTTAATAGTTATATGTGCATTCTACGCCTCTGCCTATTTAACATATGTTTGCTTATAAAGTGGTATGCAACTTTCCAGTGAGCGCCACAACAGCTGCACAAAAGACGCTGCCCCCGGTAGCGCTGCAAAACTTCCAAGCGCTGCGTCAACTCCAACGCCGACGCTTTGGCTTCAATTGGGTGGCTTCGCGGCGTTTTTCAACCACTTTTCGTACTCAGCGACGACAGTTAGCAGCGCACTTTCAGCTCAGTCGTGTACGTAACGTCGTCGAGTTGCAAACGCTAGCGGTAAAATCATCACAATCATATTTGGCCCAATAGCAGCAGCAGCAGCAGCGACAGCAACGTTGCACTGAAAGCAAAAAAAAAATATTGAAATGTGTGTTCAGTGTTAAGTAAATTTGTAGTGCAAACTGAAGTAACGGCAAATGTTGTGCTTCACTGAACGCTAATGGCAAATTAGTGCAGCAAAAACAAAAAAAAAGCACGAAAACTAAACCAAAAGCGGCAAAGAGTATTGCATACCACACGGCTGTCATGAAAAATAGATATCGATTTGTTGACTGACGGCATGTGGTGGGGGGCATTTAAAGCTATTTCCGTGTGTGTAATAAAAACTTAACATCAAATTTCTAAAGTTACCGAAAAGGAAAATCTACACAGACATTCACACACTAACATTGTGAACTAAGCATTAATTGGCTCAATTGTGTGACAGTTTCTGTAAGTGTGTATGTGTGTGCGTGCTTAGGCGTATGCGACGTTGGGTGTATGTGTGTGTATGAGATCATCATTATACGGCACTTGCTGTCGCCTGCTGGTATGCAATACTTCTTCTTTTGACGCACGCTAGCTTCCACTTATCCTTCTTCTTCTCGCTCCCACAGCTGCGGGCTCTATTGAAAGAGAAAAAAAAGGAAATACATTTTGAAACTTGCTTGGTCTATGACAAAACAAACGCATTTTCTTTGCAACGCATTTCTAAGGTGCGTGTGCGTATTGAGAGTGTGAGCGAGAGCGGTAGAGAGAACGGCACGCGTGTGTTTTTGTGTATGTGTTAGTTGCAGTTGTTGCGCCTTCACGACAACGCGAACAATTTAAGCAATTAAATATAATAAAAACATCTGTAAACGCGCGCGTGTTTATTTAATTTGTATTTTGATTATTGGGTTCAACAACCATAAAAGCATTTCCCTATGATTGGCTCATTCTGGAATCTGTGCAGAGCGTGCCCATCAATGCCGGTTGACAAGGTACATTAATATCACACTGAATATATCTTAAGTATCAATAACAGTTATCACATTTTCAAACTTTTTAATTTTAATTTACCTTAATTGTATTTACCTAGTTGAGAGATGTTCAAGATTAAGCTAATTTTAATATTTTCATTTTAGTTTTAGCCTTAGTCCGGTCCATAGATATTCCTTAGGATACATTCAATAAATAGTCAGGAAACGGTACGCGCTTTAATAAATTGAAACTAAACAATTTGGCCGCTTAAATTCAGCTTAATATGAACCTTTCCCTATTTTTCCATGCTCCAATTTTCGAGCTGTACATATAAATTATCCTACACATAAGCTATGCAATAGCTAGCTAATAGCTGGTCATAACTTGCAGTTTCTTAACCCACTTGCATCTATTTATTTGTTTTATTGGATCTCAGAAAAACTCGCTTGATTTATGTGCGACATATTTTTATTGCGTATTCGCAGCCAAGACAAGTAAAGGGTGCACGGAAGGGTGCAGACAAAATGGGGTGACTAAATTTATGACTTTACTCGAGAGGGTGTTGCACTGCTGGGGGATTATATCGTGGGATTATGGGCAAAAAATATTTGATTTAATGAAATTGCAGTCAACGAATTGCGAGAGAAAATAAATAAAATCAATTGTATGGTAATCCTCATTCATTAATCTGCATTACTGTCGCTTGAAGGTATTAAATGTAGAGCTCATAATAATATCACACAAAAACTTCATAATTTATCATTATTTAATACACCAATTTATTATGAATGAATTTCATTTAATCTTTGACCGCGCGCTTAATTGTTTGATCTACAACTAAAAAAATGTTTTGCCTTTTTTCGAAAATCCATTCCCACGGGCGGAAAATGGGTGGAAATCTGAAATAATTTTAGAAAAGCACTCAATTCAGCCGGCTGATATCACGGCATTATTTTTCAAAGCTTAAGCTGCCCTCAAGTCAACGCAATTCGACATAAATTTCAATTTATATGCACCATACAGAATTTTACCAGCTACAATCCTTGGGAGTGTCATAAAAAGTGGTTAACTATATAAACATGCAATGCTTCTACAGCGCACAGCCAAGAAGTAGTCGACAATATGAATAAAGCAAATCTGCTGGCACAGAATAAATTTATGTACATTACGCTCGACACCAGACGCGTCAGCAATGGGACAGACATAGCCAAAAAAAAAAAAAAAAAAATCAATAGCCATATGGTGTAGTGTATGTGGCCTAAAGGAGCTTACCACGGACTCCGTTAGCCGTTAGCGGAGCCGGCCGGGCAAACGTACCGGCGCGCCGCGACGACAGGCAACGATTATAATCTAAGCACGAAGCAAGAAAAATAACCTCGCCTGGCTTTCCAGTCACGGTATCGCATGGGTTGGTGCGGTGCGGGGTGGGGTACTTTGCAGAACAGCTGATTCATCAAATTGCGAGTCGTGAAAAGTATGCAATGTTTTATTTTCGCTGACGGTTCCTGTTACAGCTGTTGGAAAAGAAAGGGAGAGAGAGAGTGAGCGAGTGCGCGGGCGCATTTGCTGAGAGCGACGAGAGAGCGTGCTGCAAAAAGCAAGGCAGTGAGAGAGGGAGCGTGAGAGAGCGCGGCTGCCGGCTTTTAATATCTTGAGCTGTTGTTGTTTTTTCTGTTGGCCATATGACGTGCAAAGGCAGATTGTCTTGCGGTATTACATCAGCGCAGCGCAGTCAAAACTTTTATTCTGCCACCTTCCACCTCCAGCGTAACTTTAACAGCAACAACAACAACGAAAACAACAACGACATCTAGCTTTGCTTTCGCTGGGGCGCCAGTGCGGCGTACTCTCTTACTAAGTCCTGACTACTGGCTGGTCTTATCGATTCGCTCGCCTTACACATATTACTATGGCACTTAGTCACACTCGCTAAGCTAGTCAGCTGGCGACGCCCAGTGCAAATGCATTGCCATTGTGGTACTTATCTAATGTAAGGCGCACACAGGCAGACACACACATGCACACGCGCACACTTGTTGTTACTGTTGCCTGCACGTGTCCTTTGTCCTGCTGTATGCCGTGTACTCTATCAGCCCACATCATCAATATGCAGCTTGTGGCCAATGGACTGACCATTGTTCTATGTTGTGTAGACCGCGTGTATTTATGGCCGACTCGTTAACTTAGCTGCACTCTTTTGGGCCATTTGCCACATATGTTGCCATTTAGAAATAAATATACTCATTGGTATACCAAATTCGTCCCAGTTGCTACAACCTGGTGGCATGCTAAGCTACCAGTTTGTTTAAGTTGCTTAGCTTAGCTGAGTGTTAAGGTAAAGGTAAATGCAAATTTTATTATTAAAATCATGTCTATTTGTAAGCCAGTCTTTCAAAAAACCAGACAGCGAGGATTTGGGCTTGAAATTCATTTAAACATCAGTTTTTTTATTACAAAGAATTCAAAGAACCAATATATGAAATTTCTATATAAAATTGCCCAAGCGTGAGCATTGTAACTGTCCTAAATAATTTTCACTTAGTTCTCTTTCTTTCTGTTCTTGGTTTTTACACTTCACTGGACAGTTCCAAAAAGCGTTTTCGCACATTAACTGAAATCATTGCATTTCGATTGGCCATTCAATTCGCATTTCCATTGTGCATTCAAATTGCGGCAATCAAGTAGTTTGCACTCTCATTTACCACTGCAATTTGCACTCACCTCACTTCCCTGCAGCTCGCTAATCTCCACCGAACTGGTGGCAAACCCCTAAAGGGAAGCCCATGCCAAATGCCCCAGAGCCACAGCTTCGGCCACAGACTAACGAACAGGGGAACATAGAAGTAGTGAACTTCTTCGATTGTGGCCAATCTCCATGGAGCAAAGCACAGCAAGGCGTCGAGTGCATTGCGAAACTTTTCTAATTATATGTGGTCAGCTGTTCGTAATTGTTTCTTTTCTTCAGTCTAAGGGTACTCAACCAGACGATACTCTTGTAAAGTAAGAACGCAAGTGGTATCAGAATTTGAGTATTATAAGTGATGTAATTTTCTGATCTTTGCCCGCAAGACAGCAGATTTGCTTAAGCTTAAACAAGTTAGGAATTATAAGCACAAACTCTCAAAACTTTTTTGATAGTGGCATATTTAATACTTTTTTATAGCTTGGAATTCTTCTACTTAATACATATAGTTTCATTAATTGATAACTAAATGCAGCCCACAATTTAAAAGATAAATTTCTCTTTTATAATTTCAATTTTATGTCTACAATTTGTTGACTGACAGTCATTTTTTATTGGAAGGTAAATTTAATTTGTGAATACATATGCGCAGACAGGTACAAACTTGTACCAGCAAAAACAATAAAAAACAAGGGAAAAATTTTACAATTTGCATGTTTTTTGCGACTCGGTAGAATTTCAACTGTGTACATTTTTATTTTGCTGATTGCCTTTACGTGGCCGCATGTGTACTGCTTTTAAGCTGTTGGGTAGAAATTCGTATACCTTGACGGAAGGTATAACGATTTGCTCATAAAGGTGATATTTTCTAATGTTTTTGATGAGAGAAAATCGATATAGACTAAACCTATCTGAAAGTAGGCAATTATTTGTATTAATAAAGCTGGAAACAAGATCGTATTACACCATATTTTATATAAAAACTTATTTATAGGGTATTCAGTTGTTTTCTGGCTGCAGCTAACACTTTTCTTGTTTTGGGCACAACAGTTCTTCGTTCTGCCATTTAAATATTTGCATATTTTTCGCACAAATCAGGCAATCGCATGCAGAAAGCGTATAACATTTTTACCATATAGAAAAGTTCTTAGTTTATTTTTCATTTATTTATTTTCCTCGCGTTTTAAGTGAATTTTCGAGTTGAATTTGGATATCTTTTTGTTGACTTTATGAGTCTTCAATATTTGGTTTTCTCCTAGTATTTTTCGGTCGCAATCTGTCATAAAATTGCTTGTGATGTAATAAAAACAAGATACAAGAGAGTTGAGAGAGAGATTATTACTCAATTGCCTTTAAAATGTGTTGAAGGAATACTATAAGAATACATTTATAAAAAATATTATATGAAAATGTATTAAAATGAGAAGAAGAAATACACAATAAAAATACATGTATATATCTCTATATATAAAACTGTTTGTCCTGACTGAATGACTGATTGATTGATTGGTGATCAACGCACAGCCCAAATCGTAAGAGCTAGGAAGCTGAAATTTTCACTGCAGTTACCTTATGTGATGAAGGTGCACGTTAATATGGGGTTTTGGGGAATTCCACCCGGAAGTATAGAAAAATCGCGAAAAACATTTGTATGACATTTTTTTGTTTACCATCCGATCGGCCTCAAACTCAATTTCAAAGTTCATTGTTTAAATTCATTTGAGGGGGGTTTCACACTATTTGGAAATCCTATCACTTCTTGCTGGGAATGGGTGTTAAAGATTTGGTGGGTGACGTTTCGCGCTTTGAGACCTGTTTCACATTTTTCGCTAAATCAAAGCATCCGTGGTAAAAAGTGCAATTCAAAGATCTTTTTGGTATAGTTTTAATTTTTTTTCCGATTTGCTTCAAAAGTATTTTCAAAGCTCTACATAAAAACTTATTGAATACGTATTTCAACGATTTGGGAAATTCCACCCGCAACAGTGGTAAATTGGAAGAAAACGTTTGTAATACAGCTTTTTATTTACCGTCCGATCAGTTTCATAATAATTTTCAAAGCTTTTTTAGAACATTTATTTTATAAGTGCCACGGACAAGGCCGGGCTATACCCGCTAGTATAAATATATAAGAAAGAAGTGAGAAAAATAAGGCTTACGATTGAGGAGAATTGAGAAAGAAGGAACCGAAGGAAATAAATTAATATGGAATGTTTTTGAACACCAGATACATGTATGTATATACTATTCTAGGAAATAGGTTTGCATATAAATGATTTCAGAGTCCAGCCTTATAGTTGCTCATGCCATTACATGTGTGTTCCTTGACATTGACAG